TAGCAGCTAGGTCCTAGCTACAATAGACAACCTGCACACTACAGTATACCCAACTGATCCCCAGTGCACCATTCATACAATAGTATACCTGTTGCCCAGTATATACTTTGTCTACATTTTATGACATTTCTAACAATAATAACTAAAAATAGACATTAAATGGTTTTATCGGTATACAGTACTGTATTTAAGAGTCAAAATTAGCTGTAAGTGTTTCACATTCTTGTCATTTCACTAATACTCTATCAAATACTCCCTTTCCTCTCATTTCTACTTCAAATGAATGCATTAAACAATTGAATGAAACTCAAACTTTAGATCATTTACAGTATTGAGTTGTGAGAAATTGGATTTAAATGAATTAAAAGTAAAGTATATATAAGACATTGTATTGAGGTTTGAATAAATGGTTAACTCTTGACAAGTTTTCCACCAAACAGTTAGTTGTAACTGGAATTGAATAGAATAGAAATATTAGATACTCTGTATTAATAGGCATTTCATGTGAAATACAGTGCATTTGAACATAGAATGCATGAATTTCATGTCAAATTGGCGATTGTATGCAATGTAAGGCTAATAACGTAATTACTGGCAGTGAATAGTGAATGCAGTGAATGGCAGTGAATGGGCAACACGTTGAGTGTATGGCTGAGTGTGAGTCGTCTACGTGTGCCTCGACTGCAGCCAAAGCACTGACTATACTCTCAATCCATTAGCCATTCACGAAATATTTAGTAATTAATTATCATTTGAGTCATTGATTGAGACATTGCTTGCGATTAATTTCATTGGATGACAACCGGAATCACTTCGGCAGACAACTAGTGGTCATGTCTTCGGATCTGTTGTCTCTGGTGCTCGAGCTCTACAATCCGTTGTATTTGTTTCCCATAATCGGTGTCCTCTTCACGGCTCTCCTTGTCTTCACCTTTGGATTCAAGTCATCGACACAACCGTCGGAAGAGGTGTTCGACGCTCTCAACGACAAACACCACAAGACTTACCACCGATTGCCAGAACCGGTCAAGAAGAAGAAGCAGAACCACAATAAGGTTGTTATCACTCTATGGACTCAATGCATGTTTACTCATGTCTTTGCCTTCAGGTGACCACTGCTAAGACCGACCTCAAGAGTGAACCCAATGGACACATAAACGATGGATCAGTTAAAGCGAGCGACAAGAAGACGACACCCAAGAAATCAAGTGTTGAATCAAAGCCATCGGTAAAGACGGCCACAAATACTAATGTGGAGAACAAAACGGTTTCCAAAAGAGTGGCGAAGAATAAGAGGAGCGACGACTCGCTTAAGAGGGATGAGGTTGAGGACAAGGATTCGGGCGAATGGGTTGAACTCATCTCCAGAAAGGAGCGAAAGAATCGCAAACAAAAAGAGGAACAGCTTTTGGTTGAATCGAAAAACAAAAGCAATAAATCGGATAAAAAGCCCGAAAAGAGTCCCAAAAAGGAGTCGAAAAAAGGAAAGACAGAGAAAAGTGTTGATTTGAATGCTGTGACGAACGCCGAGACAAAGACCAAAGAGAAGCCCATTAAAGCCGAAGAAGTGAAGAGCGAAGAGAAGTTCGACAAACAGGAGATCGCAGTGAATGGTGAGGAACAGGTGTCCGAAGAGCTCGATATCTATGAGTTGGCCAAAGAGCAAAGAGTGGGCAAAAAATGGCAAAAACGTAATCAAAAGCGCGGATCGGAGTCGGAAACGGCACTTAAGAGCGAGTCTTTGGCGGCCAGTGATGCGACTAATCTGGATGTTCGCGACAAACTGACGGCCGCTATAGTAGCCAACTATGAGACCAATGACCAGAACAAAGCGGATTCAACGAGTACTGCAAACAACAAGAAGAAGAAGGAGAAGAACAAGAAGAAGACAAATGCAAACCAAACGCCGACTCCAACAGTGAATAATGAAAACAGTGATCGCATTAATTCTGTTGCAGTGATTTCGTCGGAAAGTAGTGTCAATGCAATAGACATTCCTAACGGTATGTATTGAATGGATGTTTAGTCGTATGTATTAATGGTATGAATTGTTGTATAGAAATAAAACCGTCAGAAGAAGACGAGTTCAAGTCTGTGAGCAAAAAACGTCGGGCAAGACGTGAATAATAGCTCATACAGTCGTACAAAACTCTCGAGAAAAGCCCAGTTCTAGAACTTAAGACAACTCCTCATCAAAGCCTTCACATGATTTGGTTGAAGTGCCAAATGTTATCCACTATAGAGTACATGAAAAGGCAATTATGACTACCGGTAATTGTCGAATCTGTCGGTGCAATCATTAAAAGCAGTCATTAAACACTAAAACTGGGATTCAAACTAAATTCAATTCATTCCTATTGTGAATTAATGTCAGAATTTTATATCAAAACTTATGAATACCTCTTCTATGAGAATGAAAAGCAAATCAATATTCAGTTGTCATAAAAGCAATTCATCTGTGATTTAATTCAAACAATTTTATTGTCGTATTATTATTATTATTATTATTCTTATAATTTTATTCAATTGTCTTATTTGTCTTCCACTTTGTTTTGGGCATTAGTTTTAAAGTATACTTTCCTTTATTAATGTAATATTTGTGATAATAATTGGGAGAAAATGTGTTATTTTAAGAATTTTCACTTTTTATAATTTTCTTTTATAACTTATAATATATATTCAGATCTTTGAATTGACTTTTGCCTCAAATCAAAATCAATCAAGAGATCTATTGTTGACTCGATTTTGCATTAGTTTTATAAGCGATTAACTGAAGTATATTTAAAACTACAAAATTTAGGGTCTTCTCTGGGGTCGTCAGTCATATGAAACAATTTAATAGCAATTACTGATTATTTGTTGATTCCTTCCCATAAGTCTATCCCATGTTTTTAATGATAATTTTAATAATTATTGTTTCAAAGTTTGCTAACACTATGTGTAGACCTCTGAGAAGATGACTATTTATTGCAAATGTCGAGAGATTTAGCAAATTATAAGAGTTTTAAGTCATTGCATTGATATTAAAACATATCTTTGTGTAAAAACTAAATATATGTTTGAATGATATGTTGAGGTGTTTGGCATTATTTTCACTCGTGATTGGGATTAAGGGCTAATCATTACCACAATTGTTGAGCACAAGAATCACTTATAACTTTAAACAATACAAAGACTCTGAATGTGGTATCAATTAACAGATTATATGTTTTATACGAAATATATATTTATTGATCTATTGTTAAATAAACGAATTGATATTTCAAGGTTTCACTTGTATTTATTCACTCATTAAACATGATTTGACTTTATTATGAATTTTCTAAAACATTTGATTCGCTTTCAAAATATTGTCTCAAACTATCAAATGCTAGAAATCGATGAGAAATAGTATTTTTAAGCTCTTTATCCATCTGCGCGTAAGTCTGTGTATATCCTAAGGGCTCGAAACAGGGATCCCATCCGAAATGTGTCGGTCCTCTCGGCTCTACTATACGGCCGTCCACTTCACCCCTGAATACCTGGATGTCATGCAACTTGTGTGAGCCCTCACAATAGGCAACATTACAAACAGCAACAGCACTCTTATCCTCCCAACCCGTCAACAGACGGTGCAATCCGTTTGGTCCCAACTCTTGGAGAAACCATTTAATGTAAGGCCCGGGAAGTCCTCCCAAAGCTTTGAAACTATGGAAATAATTGATGAAATGGTCTCAAGAGATGCACTCAATGGACACAAACCCCAGACACGTGTCCTCCACAATGACGGGCCCATTGACGAGCTGTGCGGCGGCCTTGCATTTGGCGGATATTATATACCGTTCCTCTCCCTGATATTCAGGCAGATCTATGTCTTTGCAAACTAACTGTAATTCAATTCACCGTTAATATAGCACTCAATCGCAACTGACATCACTGCCATCACTGTCACCTCAAATGGAAGTGCTTTGCCCAAGATTTTGACGATTTCTTTCAGTTTATTCTCATTTCCCGTCACAAGAGTCACCACTCTTGAGGACATTGTCGTCCACTCTATGGTTCGTGTAATCAATGGATACAATGATTAGTAATTTGATGATTAGATGAGTGATAAAGTGGTCACCAATTCAATGGTCTATAACTGTAAACATTTCATTCACTTTTCAAAGTTTGTTTGCATTGCGAGTCTCTGCATGAGTGCCATCTCTATGCCATTCACTGCACTCTATAAGCACTCAATTCATGCACTGTTTTGTCACTGTTTTGTAAATTCAGTGAATCTATGAGTCCATCAAATAATGTCTATTTTTAATCATTTGTAACATATTTTTTAATTATTTCAAATAAATTCAATAATATTTAAAATGTTTTGTCAACTAATTTATAATCTATACAAACGTTTCCTATAAGAAAGTAATCAAACAATTTGAGACAAAATGTCCAGACATCGAGGGGTGAAGAATATGAATTACAGCGAAGGTATCACTTCCAACACTTCCAACACTTGCAACACATTTTCAATGATAACTAAAACCAATTCCTTATATTTGATTGCATGTGAAGAATATGACGAGTATTACAACACTTACGGCCAATCACTGGAGGAAGACATCTGTATTTCGCCCAATACTGGTCAGTCACTGTCACCACACACCACATCCATGTCTGTCAATGCAATGGTTTGTTGATCTCTTAACAGAGCGTCAGTTTATGTACAACCGGTCACAACCATCCACTCAACGACCACATGACTCCTCGGATCTCATGAACACGAGTGTCACTGAAGAGGACGACGACGCGGAACAGGATTTGGATTATTATCGCAATCTCTCAGATATGGACCAAATAGAGAGAGGTATGTCTCGTGTGTGCCGTTCCTGTGGTTTGTCTGACCACTCAAACCAATTGATAGACTCGTTGTCTAATCAATCATTTGTTGCATTGAATGACAGTTAAACTCATCTCATGTGTCGAAGAGATGGAGAATGTGGTCGGAGAGACAATACCCGAGTCACTGCTTATAAGAGCCGCCAAAATACATAATTATGACATAAAACGAGCGTTGGATTCAGTCCTTAATAACCACACCTTTGATCCCAACGACTATCTAAGAAATGAACCAAAAGGAGCCACAAATAGAGGTATTTCTCATAATTGATGTCTTATTTGCAATAAACCCTTAAAATTGACAATCAATTAACTATAGCGTATTGCGGTTGTTATTTCTGCTTGGTCATAATTTAAACTTAACACTTAGTTTTTCAATTTCATTGATACACTACATTAAAAATACTGTAAATAGCTCACACGTGATTATCAAGTAAACTTTTTATACTACCGTACTAGTAATGGACTATAAATTAGCAGTAATGAACTTTTTGCTTATTATGAACTAATTGAGTGACTAATGTAACAACACTTGAGTGCACGCTATTGTTAATGTAATCTTTAAATTGAGTGAAACTATGAGAATAATATGATTTGAATTGAACTGTCGTTTAGGTAAGACATTGAACACAGAGAGTCCATCGCAATCATTGCAATCATTGAATGGTTTAATGGTTGGAAATAATGACGATTTTAAACCTTTAAATGATAAGCGAAACAGTAGTTCCCCTCTGTTTGTAAGTCTAACCGCAAAATGCAATCCAAATAATGATACAAAAAGCACTCGTACTTGTGATATAAAACAATCATTAATGCAATACTTTGATCGAAACGATATAAAAGTATTTAATTTTCAAACCGAATCCACCGATGATTGCAAACGAGATCTCAAAACTGGAAGAAGAGGTTCTCTTTAGTCTGTGTTTAAATGAACTCAATATTGAATGAATTAATTTGTTTAGAAGTGAGGGATCAGTGCGACACAGAAGTGGCCAAGATCAATAAGACTTTAGGACAACTAGTTGTCAACAAAAGTGAACCAAACCTTAAAGCGTAAGCCAAAAGCGCTTTTATACTATAGTTACCTCTTATTTATTTGAATACATTTGATTGGATTAGACTCGCGAGTCCTGTTCGCAGGAATTTAGACAAATCTCGATTAGAGTCGGGCCATCAGAACCAGTACTCGAGCCCAAACTCCCCGGCCTCGAGTAGAACCGGTTCCCGAATGTCGTCTCCAAACCACGAGAAGAGCTCCGAAAGCAAGACTACAAAACCCATACAAACGAAAGCTTTGAATCCGGAATTAGCTTTAATTGAATACAATAAGAACAGAAATAGTGGTAAACCCAACATAAATATGGTTGTCATCGGACACGTGGACGCCGGGAAGAGCACTCTTATGGGACATCTGTTATATCGTTTGGGTTTTGTTTCTCAGAAAGCGATCCATAGATACGAAACTGATTCCAAGAAAATGGGCAAAAACTCATTCCTTTACGCCTGGGTTTTGGATGAGACACCAGAGGAAAGGAGTCGCGGTATTACTATGGATATCGCAGAGTCTCGCTTTGAAACCAATGCCCGCGCCGTCACTTTACTCGACGCTCCGGGACATAAGGACTTCATTCCTAATATGATCACCGGTGCCACTCAAGCAGACGTGGCTTTACTTGTGGTCGACGCCACTAAAGGAGAGTTTGAAACTGGTTTTGATTTGGGCGGACAGACCCGCGAACACACCCTTTTGATAAGATCATTAGGAATCTCTCAGTTGGGAGTTGTGGTCAATAAACTAGAAAACGTTGACTGGAGTCAAGACCGTTATCAAGAAATTGTCGTCAAATTAAGTGCTTTTCTAAAACAGGTGGGCTTTAAGGAACAGGACATTAGTTATGTGCCGTGCAGTGGTCTCACGGGTGAGAATTTGACCGAAAGGTCTAAAATCAAAGCCTTATGTTCCTGGTATTCGGGACCCTCTCTCGTCGAGATTATTGGTATGTTTTGGACACAAGTGTTGAGTTGATCTGAAGTGTAATGAGAATGTATTGTTTCCTTGTTTCAGACAACTTCAAGCCACCAGACCGTCTCATTTCAAAGCCATTTCGCTTGTCTCTCAACGATGTATTCAAAGGCCTCACGTCCGGGATCTGTATTAGTGGTCGTGTAGAAGCCGGTACTGTCACTGTTGGCCAGAAATTAGTGATTTTACCCGCAGGAGAGCAATGTGTTGTCAAATGTATAACAATTTATAATGAATGTAAAGAATTGCAATTTGGTTTCATTGAAATTATGTTTCACTCAATCATAGCCATAGCTATTGACGACACACCCATTCCGACGGCTTTTGTTGGCGATCACATCGTTATGACGCTCTTGGGTTGTGATTTGAATAAGATTTCAGTGGGGAATCTGGTGTGCGATGCCTCAAACCCCGCTCCTGTCACCACTCGATTTGAAGCCAGAATAGTCTTATTCAATAACATTGAGATTCCGATCACTCGAGTATTTTATTCAATTAACTCTGGATTTGTATTTATTTAATGACTAATCTAATGATTACTTATTTGAAGGGCTTTCCGGTTATATTTCATTATCAAAGTCTGAGCGAACAGGCAGTGGTCCGCAAACTGATATCTCAGGTGCATAAGGGAACGGGTCAGGTGATCAAAAACAAACCGCGCTGTTTGCTCGGCAATAGCAGTGGATTTGTTGAGATTGAAGTCCAGAAACCTGTTTGTGTGGAACTCTACAAAGAATACAAAGATTTGGGGCGATTCATGATTCGGGCGTCCGGTGCCACTATAGCAGCAGGGGTAATCACTAAGATTGTGGGATAAGAGTTGGCAATACTGTCTTCCATTTGTAAAAATAACTTAAATGAATTATAAGAATAAATAAATTTGAATATTAAATAACAAGTTTATATTTGTAAAATTATTTAAATTTCTGCATACAGTTTTCTATAATTGTCGGTTTATTTTCTAAATAAAATATATATAGTGAATGTTAACAATTTTAAACATATTGTAATCTTATCCTTAATTTAAGTGCACATTGCGAGTGACTTGTGAGATGAAGTTGATTTATGTATTCGCAAGTCTTGTAAACTAACAACTTTTGAAATAACTATTCAAAGAATTCTTTAGATAATGAGTCTGTTTTAGTAATCATTTAGTTATCAAATGTTTGTATAAAAGAAGTAATTCATTAATTTAAAGGTTTGGTAATTAACAATATAAATTAGAATTTAGTTGAATATTTGCTTCCATAAAATAATCATAATGAAATTATTACATTTATATATTATTTTATTAATATATTTTCAAAATATAACTCTAATTAAATCACAGTTATTACCGTTTTGTGTGCCAAAATGTAAATGTTCAGAGACATCAGTTGAATGTATGAATAGAAAGTTAACTACTGTGCCTATAATAGCTGCCGAGACTACAAATTTTGATCTCAGATATAATGAAATTAAAAATTTAAATTCCGGAGCTTTCGGTCATCTCTCACTGTTGACAAACCTGTATAAAACTGTTACTATAAATACCGTGCAATTGATGAATAATAATAATAATAATTGTTTCGATATATTTTCAGACTTCTAAACAACAATCAAATTGAAGAATTGAAAGACCATTTGTTTGCAGGACTGGCGAGACTTCTCTATCTGTAATTACATATAACTTTCATACATTTTCTAGAGATTAATTTTTAAAACTAACAAAAAACTTTTGAAAAGTTTTCAAATTTGTATATATTAATTTTTACAATATATTTATAATTGTATTTTATATTTTATAATTTATAATATTATAATTGTATATATATATTTAAATTTATATTTTAGACATTTAAACGCGAATCAAATAAATGAAATTGGAAAAAATAGTTTCAAGAATTTACATAATTTGGAAACTTTATACTTAAATGATAACCAAATTGAAGATATTTCTGAATTGTTTCGATATATTTTCAGACTTCTAAACAACAATCAAATTGAAGAATTGAAAGACCATTTGTTTGCAGGACTGGCGAGACTTCTCTATCTGTAATTACATATAACTTTCATACATTTTCTAGAGATTCATTTTGAAAACTAACAAAAAACTTTTGAAAAGTTTTAAAATTTGTATATATTAAATTTATATTTTAGACATTTAAACGCGAATCAAATAAATGAAATTGGAAAAAATAGTTTCAAGAATTTACATAATTTGGAAACTTTATACTTAAATGATAACCAAATTGAAGATATTTCTGAATTTTAAATTTATATTTTAGACATTTAAACGCGAATCAAATAAATGAAATTGGAAAAAATAGTTTCAAGAATTTACATAATTTGGAAACTTTATACTTAAATGATAACCAAATTGAAGATATTTCTGAATCGATTTTTGCTGATTTGCCATCTCTTAAGAAGATGTCAGTTAATGATTAAGAAGTTTTTGAATAAATTGTCTAATTTTTAATTAATTATTTAGATATTTGCAAAACAATCGTTTGACTACTTTATCTCCGATAATATTTACAAATAATAGATATTTAAACGAAATAAGATTATCAAACAATAGATTGGTCTGCAATTGTGATCTCTTATGGTTAAAGCAAATGAGTTTAAGAATACAGAATTTTGGTGCCACTTGTGATTCGCCCAATAGTTTAAAAAATAAACTGTTATCACAAATATCTTTAGATGTTTTTGGATGCATCACTAATAATACACATGTATTTGAAGACTTAGAAATTATAAGAAATGATTTGATTTCAAACAATTCAGTGCAACTGTTTTGTAAGATTGGAGGGCAACGCAAACCTTCGATACAATGGTTCCATAATAACAGACCCATTAATATGAGATATGAATACAATAGGTATTCATTTGTAAACAACGGATCCATTCTTCATATAAAATATAAATCCCATGAAAACGAAGGGAATTATCGATGTATTGCCCGCACTATTGTCGGAATAATGGTTTCAAACGAAAAGTTCATAAAATTCTCGAATAATTCAAATGATTACAAAGTGGTCACATTAAATAAAATTGATAAACCTTTTGGAAGTCAATTAGTATTAAATTGTACGGATTTTACAAATAAATTCTGGACTAAAAATCATTCAAAAATACCTAATCATGTTGAAAATAACGGTTCGCTTATTATTAAAACACTATTAGAAACTGATTCAGGAGTTTACAGATGTATTGATCAATTTAATCAAAGTTTCGCTGAATATTCTGTTAATATTTTGGGTAAATATAATCAATGAACAAAATAAGACATTTTACTAATTAAAATCCTGATTGTAATCAATGAAAAGTGCCCCCAGTTTTCACTGAAGTACCAGATTCTGTGATGGAAGTGGAAACGGGAGATTCAATCAAATTGAAGTGCTTTGCCACTGGTTTTCCTGCACCTACAGTTCAATGGACACGGAATGGGAAAACAAATTATAGATTTAATACAAATGAATTAAGTATTGAAGGCATCAAACCCTCAGATGAAGGCATATATGAATGCAAAGCGAATAATACTTTGGGAGTTGCGGTTGTTCATAAAATTCTCGAATAATTCAAATGATTACAAAGTGGTCACATTAAATAAAATTGATAAACCTTTTGGAAGTCAATTAGTATTAAATTGTACGGATTTTACAAATAAATTCTGGACTAAAAATAATTCAAAAATACCTAATCATGTTGAAAATAACGGCTCGCTTATTATTAAAACACTATTAGAAATAGATTCAGGAGTTTACAGATGTATTGATAAATTTAATCAAAGTTTTGCTGAATATTCTGTTAATATTTTGGGTAAATATAATCAATGAACAAAATAAGACATTTTACTAATTAAAATCCTAATTGTAATCAATTGAAAGTGCCCCCAGTTTTCACTGAAGTACCAGATTCTGTGATGGAAGTGGAAACGGGAGATTCAATTTCATTGAAGTGCTTTGCCACTGGTTTTCCTGCGCCTACAATTCAATGGACACGGAATGGGAAAACAAATTATAGATTTAATACAAATGAATTAAGTATTGAAGGCATCAAACCCTCAGATGAAGGCATATATGAATGCAAAGCGAATAATACTTTGGGAGTTGCGGTGAAAGAGGTGAAAGTGAAAGTGAGGGGCGGAAGCATTCAACTGAGTGCTCAAAACTTTCAATCAAATGAGATCTTAGAGGCCTTTAAAGAAGCCAAGTATTGTGAAAACTTTAATTGATTGCAATATTGATTTTAAAAACTTTTTTAGAGATATAGTCGATCAGGCGATCAATCAAACCATAAGAGTCGTTACGGACAAAAGATATCGTTTAGAAAACCCATCAAAACTCATGTCAATCGCTAGATTTCCTCTTTCGCCGGAATCCATAGAATTTGCAAAATCTATTGAAATGTATGAAAAAACTCTTGAAATCATCAAAAGGAAAGCTGAAGCGAAAACATATTTACCAAAAGTTCAGTTCAAATACGAAGATCTTTTGTCACCAAATCAGTTGAATATATTGGCACACCTTTCGGGATGTCTTGTGGGCCATCGTTTGCATAACTCGTACCAAACAAACCGATGCCGACAAGAGTGCACTCATAAGAGTTACCGCAGTTATGACGGCGTTTGCAATAACTTCGAGAACCAGTTATGGGGCGCTTCTCTCACGCCTTTCCACCGACTCATTGCTCCTCAATATGAAGACGGTATTCATTTGCCGATCGGTTGGTTTTCCGGTAAAAAATACGGAGGATTTGTAAAACCAAACGCAAGAAAAGTGAGCCAACAGTTGTTGAGCACCAAAAAAATAAGGTACCAATAAATTGACATGTATCAGTTTTATATATTGTATAATGGTACAATTTCAACTATATGGCGCGCGCTTAAGACTTAATTGTTGGGATCAATCTATGCGTCCATTTGTAGGCCTGTTATCACTGATTATACATATCATATGATTTGCAGTATTTCATTTTGCTTACTAATGTTAAATTTATAGCACTTGGAGGGCATACAGGTCCGAAATAATTTGTGCATGCTGTGCTTGTAAAAAGTTCTATGAGAATTGAATGAATGAGACACATTTTGAATTTAGATGATTAGATATACTGTACTTCCCGACCATTTACTATAATCATATGACATTGATAGTGAAACATTACTGTACCTTAAGTGAGGACATGCGGCACTCACATATGTTGATGCAACATGGACAGTTTCTGGACCACGACATCGACTTCGCCATGCCTTCTGTCTCGAAGTTACGTAAGTTATCTCTCGATTAGCTAACGTCATTTTGAACATGAGCTCAAGTGGGCACGAAAAGTTAACTCTATGGTTACCTACTGTACTCTTCTTTACACTGGTTTTCCTCTGTATTCATTAAGCAAAACTGCATAGAATTGATTCGGTCGAGTGCTTCGTGTGGAAGTGGTCTGACATCTGTGGCAACGGGCACTTTGATGCCTCGGGAACAGGTCAACCAATTAACCGCATTCATTGATGGCTCTAATGTTTACGGCAGTACTTCCACTCTCGCCAACCATTTAAGAGACAGAATCCCAAGAGATTCAGGACTAATGCGTTCAAAGATAATCAACGGAAAGCAATATTTGCCTCAAAATGAGGGGCGACTGCCAAACGACTGCCAACAGGACCCGAAACGGTCTGACTTTGAATGCTTTTTGGCCGGAGATTTCAGAGCCAATGAACAGTTGGGTCTCTTAACGATGCATACGCTTTGGCTCAGAGAACACAATCGTATCGCTAAACAACTCGCGTATGAAATCTATTTATACTTACCATAGTTTTGCATCATTTTTAAAGCAATCTAAGTCTAACTCTTAAAATTTAGTAATATTACCCAAATGTTTGTCAAATTAAGAAATATCCAGAAATATTCTAATTTAGTGTTGGGAGAATTACCAATACTTTCAAACTAAAACTTTCTAACTTTATTAATTTGTTAATCAAAAGTCGACTGAACCCACTCTGGAGTGGAGAACGAGTATATCAAGAGTCAAGAAAAATAGTTGGATCAGAGATGCAGGTGAGACCCATTGCTAATAAATGAATACAGTTTTACTAATTCAAAACTAATCATTTATTGTCAGTTCATAACTTTCTATCAGTGGTTGCCTCATATATTGGGGCCAAAGGTATACAAACATAGTTATACAGTATATGAACTATTCCAATTATGTTAAGAAATTGTCAACTAATTTGATCACATAATTGAACCCTTTATCAGAAATCCTGATTCAGGATATCTTAATTATAAACCAATTCTTTTGAATGACAAATGATTAAAAATATGATTGTTGAGTGAAGGGAATGTCAAAATTGGGTGAATATCGCGGATATAGTCGTGAAGTAAACCCGTCGGTGGCCAATGTGTTCGCGACGGCAGCGCTTAGATTCGGTCACACATTGATTAATGCATTCCTATTGCGGTTGAATGAGTCCTACGAACCGACCACTCAATACGCGAGTCGTCTCCCTCTCCACAAAACCTTCTTTGCTCCCCAAAGACTCGTCGAAGAGGGAGGCATTGACCCATTACTGAGAGGACTGGTGGTGGGCGCCACTAAAACGCCCCGACCCGACCAGGTCCTCAACACTGAACTCACAGAACATCTCTTTGAGTTGGCCAGAGATGTGTCGCTTGATTTGGGTGCTCTCAACATACAAAGGGGTAAAATAACTCATTTATCATCCATATTTCATGATCTCTTTCTGTATGTCTTTACTGGACATGACTTATAGGCAGAGATCATGGTTTGGCGCCTTATAACGAATGGCGAAAGTTTTGTAATTTGAGTTTTGCCCACAATTTCCGTGACTTGAAGCGTGAAATCAAAAGTGAAAAAATCCGAAACAAATTGAAACAAATTTATGGTAATGTGGATAATATAGACCTATGGGTGGGTGCAGTGTCTGAAGACATACTGGACGGGTCTAAAGTTGGGCCCACATTCCAGTGCCTATTAGTCGATCAGTTTAAAAGACTTCGAGACGGCGATAGGTTTTACTTTGAGGTGATTTACTCTCCCATTTCATATATATCAGTATAATATGAAACAATATCTTATTTATGAAACAGAACTCTCAAGTATTCACATCGGAACAGATGAAACAAATAAAGAAGTCATCGCTTGCACGAGTCATATGTGATAATTCAGATAATATCACAACAATTACTTCCGATGTTTTTATTCAACCTAAACATCAAGATTGGCATAAATGTCAAGATTTGCCAACATAACTAGAGTTATTTACCGTGTTGTCGAATTACGGTCAGTTGTTGACGAGGCTACAAGCCCTACTATCCTGTGATCTGAAACGACATGGCCTTGTCGAGAATTTAGTTAACTCTTTACCTACTATTGGGATAAATCTTTAGATTAGACTCAATTTTAAACATTTTATTAAACAACAAACTAAATACAGTATATTAATAAATGCATGTATAATAGAAACCATTAATTGATATAATGATAGCAATCACATACAGTACGGAATAGCCGGTAACCTTCCGGTACAGTACAGTATTGTATGCGAAATCATTTATTTAGTAAATATTTGGTGTGCTTTCCATTGGCCACCAATTGATTACTTTTCTTATTATAAATATCGACCGAAAGAAAAGCAATATTTTTGCCGCATTTCAGAGTATTAGCTTCAATGAGAAGAGTGTCTCCCAATTGGACACCACTTAGGAATTGGACGCTTAGGTCGAGTGAAACACTGTTCACTTTCGCGAAGTGTTGCTCCCGTTGTTCACTATCAGTGACCAGAGCTGCGGTGAGCGCCAAACTGGACAACTGGTCCACAATAGTGGCAGTCATTCCTCCGTGCAGTCGACCCGAGAAGTTGGTCGACCCCTCCGTCACCACCATCTCTGCGCTGATGCGACCCTTGGATGCGCTCGTGATGTTCACCTGTTATGGACTCAATTGAGTGACACTTCATTGCCATCGACCACAACCACAACCACACATCTGTAAGACACTACACCACACCAGTGTTGGGTCACCACAGCTGGTCAGATGGTGTGCCAGTGTGTGTGTGCGTGTCGTCGATGTGTCAATGAGTGGTCACCTGTTGTAAGACGCGGTCAAATCCATTGGACTCAACCAATGTCTTCAGAGTGTTTCGCATGAGAGTTGTCAGCAATTGAGACATCGTTTCAATGGATCCAATGGACAGACAATGGGACAGACAGTGAGACTCTGTCTGTCAGTGCGTTAGTATGTCACTCTGTTGTCGGTTTGCTAACGCAGTATATAACAAACACTACGTTTGGTAACGGAAGTATACTAACCACGCTAACCGACAATTTGGCTATCGTTGCCGGTATGGGACTCGAGTTCGTGAGATCACGTGATAATTGACAAACATTTGAAATGTTTTCGCACTCAATGAAAGGTTGAGTCAATATTTGGCAGCAGTTGTGGAGAGAGTGTTGCAGTGAATGTGTTGGCCAATGGGACTCGAGTTCGTGAGATCACGTGATAATTGACAAACATTTGAAATGTTTTCGCACTCAATGAAAGGTTGAGTCAATATTTGGCAGCAGTTGTGGAGAGAGTGTTGCAGTGAATGTGTGCTACGATTGCAGTCATAAGTCATATGACAACACAATCCATACTATAGTTAACAGTAATTGTAACCCAATTGCGATCACAAGCATTGTCTCAAACACTGAACACTCGCCACGAGTTAGATATTGTCCTCAAATCCAGTGATTCTGTGGCCATGTCTTCAGAGAACCGAAGACCAGTTGACTCAACAAAAAGTGACCAAAATGGCGGCGAAACTGGAAGAATAGCGGCCACGAAGAGGTTGCAGAAGGAGTTAATGGATTTTGTGCTCAACTCAGACCAGTCGATGACCGCCTTTCCCGACGGCGACAATCTCTTCAGGTATTATCTGTTGTGTTGTGTCCACACAAACCAATGTCTGTATTGTATGAACAGATGGATCGCGACCATCACTGGACCCAAGGATACACAAAAGCTACCTAACTTCAAATTTAATAACGAGTGAAAAAGCGGATTTATAGGCAAAACACGCGGTAAACACCAGAAAGAATTGGTAACGAAGGTAGGTTTGTAGTCGTCACTACCTCTGTAAACAATAGATATCCTGAAGGTTGGACTCCATATGCTATGTTTGACTGACACCCTTCCCTCCCTGACCCCTAATGAATATACATTTGTTTGATTGGCTATAAGTGTAATAACAAACTGCTGTGTGATTGCAGGACAAGTGGACGGCCCTATACGACGTGCGGACTATTCTCATATCCATTCAATCACTTTTAGGTGACTTTTACTCTTACCGTATATTTGTGTCAATACTAGTGTTGAGCGTATATTAGATGATATGTAATATTGACCCATAGGTGAGCCCAATCTGGACAGTCCTTTGGACGCATTGGCGGCTGAGAAGTGGGGTCACGAAGACTACAAGCAATTAGTTCTACTGTTCATGGCCTTTAGGTACTTACTCAGTTTGTTAACGTTTATTAATATGTTAGTTATCGAAATCAAAAGTAAATATAAATATGTTTGTAAAGAGATTTAAGTAAGTTATTTTACAGGTGTTAACTGTTATGCACACATTATTACCGTTCATTACTGTTATCTATTGATTTAAATGTCATTTAAATGATTAATTTATTTGATATGTAAATGATATCAATTGTGCTGTACTTTCCGGCACTACTGTACATGTTTGCTGACCACATGATTATTCACTATATTTTTATTTTATACTAAATCATGTTTTATTTATAAAACTCATTCATTAATGACTTTTCATTTCATTATAAAGTACTGTAATATAAAATCACATTTTATTAATTATAAACAAATGAAACGAAATGAAAACAGGTTTTATTAGAAAGAAAAGTAGATTCTCTACAATTAGACATTAAAAAGGTTGCCTAAATATTTTTAAAATTTACTTTGTTTGTTTCATGTCATAAATCTTTAATTACTGATTTTGTTTAAAAACTATTTATTCCAAACTAAATTTCCGTTTTCATAAATTCCCATAATTTGTTATTCATAAACAAATATAAAATATTTTTTGAATATAAAACCAGAAACTGAACATTTGAAAGACACAAATAGTGATGAAATGATGAGTTGACTTAATGTTATATCAGTTTCTTAAACAAGTTTTATCCAACAAACTATTGAATGACATTTATTCATCACAGCCATGACATTTTAGTTGAGCCAATAATTCACACGTTCGCAGACTATTGCATTTTGGGCTCTTTCTCGGCCTCAATGGACGTCCAACGGGTGTTCTCAATGGTTGCATACAAGTCCTATACAGTACCGTAAACATGAGTCCAATCATTACAAAGCCTGTGCCGTATGACAGCAATCATCACAATTACCTCATTCTTAGCCATCATCTCCTCATTGAGTTTATCGTCGATGTAATGGTTCTGTCCGTCGGCCACATATATGGGTCCGGGAATGAGTCCATTGAGTCCATACGACGACAGATCACAGTTCTGGTAATAGAGTGGCTGACCATAGGAGGGCTGTCCGTAGACATAGGGGTCGCCATAATTCAAAGGCAAAGCGGCTCCGTATGGCAACATTGGGTAGACCCATATGGGTTGGCCTGAGACGGGAACTCCACTGTAATTGACATTCATGTCCGACGGATACACCGTTTCTGGAGTTTCTGTTTGTTGCTGTGGTGTGTAGAGCTCAGTGGTGACCAGATCAGGGGTGCGGCCCCTATGTTGACTATAATTGGTGTTATGATGTCTGGAATACTTGCGCGGTTTGGCAGCCCTCACGCTAATGGGTTTGGGGCCCAAGATATTGGAGTTATTGCAGTGAACCAAAGCGTTGTGGTATTCGCTCTCTTGACTGAATCGCACGAAACCAAAGCGACGGCTCTGGCCTTCAGACACCATCACTGCAGTCAATACTATTAGATGCCTGAGCTGAACAAATCAGTGCAAATGGTGTTCAATACCTTTGGCGGAACAGGTGGACGGGTAGTGCTTTGCGAAGGCATTGAGTAGAGTGTAGTCGTCCACTTCGGCACTCAGGTCTCCCACATATATAGAGAACTCGTTGTCCTCTCGACTACTCGTTATATTGAGCCGAAACTTCTTGCCCTAAGATTATCATAATTATCGCAATCAGTATTGAGTCCATTGTCATGACAATCACAACCTGTGAAGCATTTGGGATCTGTTGTCCATTCAGTTCTCGCAGAACTCTTTGAGCGGTTTCTTCGTTTTCAAACGATATGAATCCGTAACCAATGGGTTGTCTATGAATGGGTGACAATGGCATGAATACGACCATCACATTCATGGTCAAGTGATCATATATACCCTGACTTCGGTCGCACCACTTTGACATGAGTGGGGTCTTGACTCATGAGGTTAAACGAGGTCTTTATGAACCTCTCGTCCATACCCTCTTCGATCTAACCATCAGTTAGTGATCAATGAAATGGTAAACAAACAAACAATAGTGACATTCATGTCATCAG